TGGATGATGATAACGTATCAAAATGTCAGAAGGTCACCCCCTCAAACCCTTTTCTGTCCCTCTTAGACAGAAGCTTTCTTTGTCTCAATTAATTCTTTTTAAAATAGAAGCATGAAATGTTTTCTACAAGCATGTCTTTAAGTTCTGGAGAGATTTTCCTTATCGCAATAAATGGCAAGAGCTTTTCTGAGTGTTCAAACTCACTACAGAGATGCTGTTTCATTTCTGAGTTGGACCCAGGCTTGTGGCGTGTGCACCCTACTAGGTCCTGCAGGGCTTCTGAGAGGCATCCTTATTTCTAGCAGTGGGAACGCTGAGGTCTTAGGGAGTCCTGGGTTTCCGAGGTCCAAACCTCCAGGCACCTCTTACCTTTGGCAATGGGTGAGGAAGCCGGACCTGCACACAGCCACTGCTCTCTTCTGGAGAAGATCAACAGCAAATGGAGGTTTGGATTCTTCTTATTTTTAATCATAATCTATAATTGTAAAAGTAAAGAAAATGATTTCAAAGAGAAAAACCAGGGCCAGTGAAATAGCTCAGTGGACTAAGTACCTGCCTTGTCAAGTGCAAGGACCAGAGTTTTATCTCCGGTCCTGCATGCTGTCCCCAACCCAAGGGTACACCAGCCAGCGGCAGAGTCCGGGTGTGGTGGTACACACTTGTAATCCCAGCGCGGGGGAGGCTGACAACAGGAAGATTGCTGTGAGTCAGAGCTGCGTAGTGAGACCTTGTACCAAATATGCAAATGAAAAGAAAAGAAAAACCAGTGAGTATAGACATGGGTATCAGTATTATTATGAATTTTATCAATTGGGTAAAATAAAAGGGCCAAATATGTATACCTTCCAGAATATGGGATAATAAAATGGCAAACAAATACTTGAAAATGCAAACAACTTCATTAACCATAAAATAAATATAAAATATAGTCAGAATGCAATATTACAGTGGTCATCAGAATGGCAGTACCAAGGACAGAGAACAGAGGGGGCAATACATAGTTAATGAGAATTTAATTCAGCACCCCTATTGTTTGGAAGACTCATCTTATTCGCCATTTTCTGTAATGTAACAAATTACAAAAGCATAAAACTAACAAAATTCTTGAGAAGATATTTGCATGGTAGTCAACTTTACAGAGATGCGATTATCCTTGGAGCTGTCCAGGGACTGAGTTCTGCATGACAATTATTCAAGCGCTGTGTAACTCTGTGTGCTCTCTTTCGTGTTAAATACTTTCTAGATGCTGTTGCCAGAACTCAAGTGGAAATTAAATTTGGATGACCCGTGGGCCTTTGCAAAGCAGAGAAAGCAGCAGACTCTGGCTCTCAGCCATGTCTTGCACGTCCTTCACTCTTACGTTTTGTGACCATATGGTACATTTTTAGGGACATAAAGGGGAGTCAGCTTGTGGTAACACAGTAATTTTATTATAAGGCAAGTTATCATGTATTTAGACAAGAGGGCCAAATATTATGTACATCTTCCAGAATCTGGAATGATAAAATGGCAAGTACACATTTGAAAATATGAACAACTTCATTAACCATAAAAGAATATAAAATGTAGTCAGAATGCAATGCTACAATGGTCATCAGAAGGGCTAAACTACAAGACTGACAATACCGAGGACAGAGAATTGATGGAGCAATACATAGTTAATGAGAATTCAATTGGCACCCCTACATTTTGGAAGACAAACTCTATTGGCCAAGTAAAATTTGTGCTAAAGGGCTGGCCAGATAGCTCAGTGGACTGAAGCGACCAGCGTTTGATCCCCAGTGTGCTGTGCTGGTCCCATCCGAGGGTCGCACTGAGGTGGCTATTGAGACTGGGCATGGTGGCATGAGCCTGTAATTCCAGCATTTGGGAGGATGAAAATGGATCACTATGAGTCTAGTCTATGTAGTGAGACCCTATAGACCCTGTAGACCCTGTCCTAAATACAGAAAAAAAAGAGATCTGTGCTAATTTGGTTGGCAGCGCACATGCAGTCAATCTGTTGGATCAGTGAGATTTCTGGTAGCTGAGCCATAATACCTGATGTCCACAAGGTCAAAGATAAGAGGTTCAATTTGGCTCATCTGGGAGATTCAGTCTGTGACCTGCTGACCCCAAGACAGAAGCATCATGTTGGAGGGGCAGTATAGAAGCTTACGCATGGCACCAAGGAAGAAGAACCACAGCAATGACTATGCCAGAGAGGAAATGGGCAGGGGTCACGAGACCATGTATTACTCAAGACACACTTCAAGCTGTGCTCTGCTGACATGTGCCATTTTTTAACCCAAGCGAATTGATGGTTAGGCTTATTGGTTGTCACCAACCCTTTGTCAGCTTGACATCTCAATGCATCCAATTAAAGCATACTACATCTCTCATTAAGCACAATATGATAATAACTCTGTCTGTCATGATGCAATTATCATAAATGGAACTGAGAACTCAATGCCCTTTCCTACAAAGTCTCAAGAGCTACATCAGTTTTCAAAAGTCTGAGTCAAGATATCTTCTGAGGCTCAAAGCAAACTGTTAGCTATGAACCTTTGTAAAAGTAAAACACAAACAGTATATGCCTAGGGCACAATGGCATGGGGGAAGCAGAGGGCTTGGGTTTTCTCACCAATCAACCCTCCTGGTTTTAGCCCACAGGTCCTCTCTCTTAAACTGATTATTCTCACAGCATGCATCATTTCTCAGCAGATGTTTCATATCCCAGTCATCTCTGACTTCTGGAGGTTTCCACTACATTCCTGCTGCTATTCCCTCTACTATACTGACTTGTCAGAAGCATTTACCTGGCCTCCTAGTTTTCCTTTGAAGCCTTCCTAACCCCACATTCTCATATTCTTCATGCAGATAAAATCAGCATTGCATGGATGATGCCAAGGCCTGCAGGCAGCAGAAGCAGTTTGCAGGACCCCTTGGATCCAGTATCCAGTCTCCTTCTAGCAGACTTTGAGTGCCTGAATGGATGATCATGGCAACATGAATTCTGTGGAGCCAACTACCTGGGAGGCCCAATAAACATTTAATGGTTCACATTCTTGAGCCTAGAATGGGGTGGGACCTTGCTGGCTTCTGAGATACCCTCAAGCCAACATTCTTCTTGTACCTGTAAAAATTTGTTGGTCACTATTGCTTCCACAGTCCTTTCTAGCTCTCCCTTGCCTCTACGCCCATGTCCACATTTCCATCTTGATAAAAGTCCACCTAGTGGTGCTAACATCTTCAACAACTACACATCCTTGGCTCTAGATTTACTTGTGTTCCTTTTGAGACCAAAATTTTGGTTTATAAGATATGTCAGCTGCTCTCTTTTTTGCTCCAGCTTCTCGCTACAAACTTGCTAAAAGCAGCTGACATTACCACACCACAGCATGAACATTGGGCTGCTTCAAAATCTTGTCTTCAAGATCAAACAGTCTGTAGCCTTTAAACTCAGCCTTGCACAAAGTTTCAGGATGTGAGAAACATGTAGTCAACTTAAGGCCAGTATGAAGTATGCATGATCCCCAGCCTAGTTCCCCGTAGCATTCACATCTGAATCCTCATGGGGCCAGTTCTTATTCTCTGAATTTCTATGAACCTTGTGATGTTCTGAGCTATAACTGGAATCTCCCATCGGGCTCTGCTTATAACATTTCAGGTATTACTTTTCTTTCCTTTTTTTTGTGCCCAGCTCAGCCCACCCTGGGGCAGGACTGGCATGGCATGTGGTGCCGGGTATCAAACCACAGTCCCTGCACTTGCCTAAGCTTGCCTAAGCAGGTGCTTTAGACTACTGAGCTATCTCACTGGCCCTCCAGCTATTTCTTAATCTGCATTTACAAATCTTTTCGTATTCCTCCCACAGGTAGGTTTCAAAGGCCTCTAAACCACATGATATAAAGGCTCTGATCCATAGCAATGACCTTAGAATTGCTTTGTCAATTCTGCATATTCTCTGTCCCATGGCTGGCACACAAGACCCAACACTGACAACGTAGAGGAGAGGTTTAGTTTGGTTTACAGATTTAGGAGGTTCAGCCCACATTCCACTGGCCCCAAATCAAAGAAAACTACAATGGCAGAAAGGCATGGTGGAGCAAGGGTACTCAGCTTATAGAAGCTGGGAAGCACAGCAGGGAAACAGGCACTAGAGAAGGAAAAGACAGACACCACACACAGCCATCCAGGCCATACTTCTGCAACTTACTAGGGAGGCCCCAAACTATGCTCTGCTGATCTGCTAGGACTTTCTTAACCCCATCAAGCTGACATACCAAGATCCAGGGTCATACCTGTCACACAGCAAGTACACTACTAGGCAACAGAAATGGGCACCTCTCTTGGACAGATGAAGAGCTTGCATGTATGACTACTCATGGACTTTGGTAATTGCTGCAAATCAGAGTTAATCCAAGTTTCAACCAGTAAAAGGACTTTATAATTAGAGATGCTTAAAACAAGTAATAATTTCTGTAGTATTTGAAAAGTATGAAAACACACCTCTAAATAAAAAGAAAAAAAATTAAATAATTTTTTTATGTCTAGCTAAAAAGGAGTCTTTTAAGTGATTCAGATAGAGGAAAAGTTCCACAGTATATATGCATCAGTTGTGACAAGACCATTTGATCATAAGTCATGCATATTTTAAATGTTATGTTATGGGACATATTACTCAATGTTCCCATGCATAGCCCATGAGTAATTGCACATGCTGGATCAAATATTCTACATCATGAATGTAGTTAGGAAAAGTGTTAGGTGAGTTATAACTTCCTCAAAAGAAAACTTCAGCTAGCACTTCGAAGAATGTTTCCTGGGAATATGGGCCTTTGTGGTTTCTCTTCTCAAGTTTCTGGATTAATAGAAACTACACCATCATTAAAGTCTCTTAAATGTATGTGAGACATTAAGGGGAGGAAATAGCTACAAAGGAGCTCAGGAAAGAAAGAGGGAGAACTTAGAGGTTGAAAAAAGAAGACAATGAAGGTGAGAAAGTAGAGTAAGACTAACAAGCATAACATAATTGGCCTGTGGAGATTTTATCTCTGAGGGAGAGGAAAGTTATTTCTTCGACATCACAGGCCTTGGCTAGCCTTCTGTTGCCCAGGGCAGGGCTGGCCTGCTGTCCTAGAGATGAGCCAGTCACATTCAGAGACTTGTGAATGGGACCCAAATCCCTGGAACCCGGGTCCCCTGAACACAACCTCTTCCTAGCCTCCTAAGCCTCATAGGGCAATCGGACTGAATGTGGATACTGAAGAGCTCGAGGCCCACCTTTGCCAACTGATTCTGAGAAAACATATTTTCTGTAGCCAAACTTGACAGGCATTTCTTTCAGATGCTTTGAGTACTTCCCAAAGACCACCAGATTTAGTTTTGGTGGTCTTCTTTCTGGGTCTGACAGAAGGGAGCAGATATCCAAGTCTATCCCACTTCACTGGAGGAAGGGAAAAAGTGAGGATAATGTTCAAGGAAAGGAAGATGGGATGACATTTGCATTGTCAGTCCTTCACCAAGAAGGGAAAAGAACTCAACAAAGATACAATGACAGCCACTGAATCTTGGTTTATGGAGCAGGGGACAAGTTTGTGCTTATAGTTCTTAACCTTTGCTGAGCAGAAGGTAACTTTACTTAAATGATGAGCTCTCATCTTTCTATTGCTGCCGGCTGCAGATACACATCAGTACCTATAAGGAGCTAGGGATGGCCGGGAAAAACAATTTAGCCAGTTATTATTTCTGAGATAGCCGAAGCTTTTCCTGAGTCTTTGTTGAGAAAATATAACTTGTGACTAGAGTCATATTTCCAAGAAGAGAAGGCACAGGAATTCTTGTTCATTGTACTATTATTGTCAGTTGTAAACTTGCCGATCTACTTTTGAACACCTGTTAAGATTTATTTGCTTCCCTGTATTAATTTTCCAAAAAATATTTCAGCTATTTTGAGTTATTTTGTCCTGTTTTCCTTACAAAATTATTGTTTCTAACATTGGTGTCATATTTCTATCCCTTAATTGTCCCTTTGTCCATCTAATGAGTGAGGACCAATTTGATATATGTTCCCCTTAAACAGATGGCTGGATTTTTGAATTCTATCGCTAGTAACCTCCAGGAGCTGCAGGGACATGACTGATATTTTCATTGTCAGTTCTTTCATTACCATTACTTTTGAAGAAGTGAAAGGCTCAGAATTCCAAGACATTAACATCAGCGAGAATTGACAACACTTCCTTTGTCCAGTACCTGGTAAGCATTAGCTCGTCATGATACGTCTTTATTGCTGCATTATTATTTCAGCCCTCCGCTGACAAAGTACTTTTCCATGGGTTGTTCCCCAGGGAACAG